GAGGTAGAGAGAGAGGAGAGGTGGGGAGAGAGAGAGGAGAGAGAGAGAGAGAGAGAGAGAATGAGAGAGGGGGTATGACATGCAGCAAACGGCTGTGCATTGGAATCGAACTGCTGCGGTAAGGACTTAGGCTTTGACCATGGGGTGTGCGCTCAACCAGGTGAGCAACCATGGTGTGCCAGATGAAAACAAAATGAACAAAATTCTAAAAATGTTTGAATAGGGTGACGTAAACGTGTTTATTTTTACCTCTGGTTATACATTAATACTGTGTGAAATTGAAGTGTATGTGGGATTTAAGTAGCAGTAAACTACTCATACAACACAATATTATTAGTATACATTGTTCAACAGGTAGTGCACAAACTAAAAAAAGAAAAGCCAGTAAAGAAACCTAAAAAGACAGGACGTTGACATCCAAGGCAATTACCAATGTGGTAAACTGAAAGAAAACACTTGTGGCTCACCAGCTTTGGTGAATCACATTCACAGTTGTGGATCAATCGACAAGTAAAACAGAGCTGTAAACAACAATGGTGGCTGTGGAGCGATGTCTGGATGTTACTGCTTTTGTACCAAAAACAAATGTTACAAACTTATGTAATTTCCATGACAACAGCTGGCACAGGAGTGTGTGCTCTTGGCCAAAACTGTCAAAAAGAGGGTGGCTGCACATGTCTCATTGTCTAAAGTTGAGAAGCCTAATCTGGTTTACAAAGAAAAACTATCAGAAGGGTAAAACAACAAGGTGCCTATGAAATTATTGAGTAAAGAAAGGCAGTGGTGTACTAGTACTGAGGTGCAAGGTATGTAGTGAGCAGTCATCAACACAGCCTTATATAGCTTTAAGATTGCTCTCTCACTCTTATGCCTCGCCTTATCTAAAAGTGCCTTCTTTTATGATTTAATCAGGAAATAAATTATGTTTTTTTAAATCTGGATTTACCTATATCAGAAAGGACATGCAAAGACTAAGGAACCCTAATAGTTTGTCCATTTAGTGTAATTTTGTGGTAGTTAGGTTGATACTGTGGATTAGTGCATTGCACTGCGCACTGCAACAGCAGTTGGGTTACTCCACAGATTACCACAATATGTATGGTTGGCTTTGGGAAATACAGTAAGCATATTAAAGCATCTTAAACATGCTTGTAATAACTTTTAATATATAATTTAAGCTTAATGAACACAATGAACAGTACTTACTTGCTCAGTCACTATAGTATAACCATTGTTGCTTCAACAATCGCAAGTCTGATCATTTTTTAGCCATAAAACCGTTAACTAATATAGTTAAGGTAGTAATCTTTTACACATCTTATTTCAGAGGATTTATAGATTTTCAACTCATTAGACTGCTCTATAGTGTTAACTAATACTAAATTATCGTCTATAAATGAAACACTAATAAAGCTTAGCCTGTTAAAAAAAAGGCATGACTGACCTCTTCCAGAAAACATACAGTAAAGGACAATTCGGTACAGTCAGGTTGTATAACTGACATGGTAGTGAGCCCACAGTGCATGGATTAGGTCCTCTATAGAGGAAAACTTTGAAGTAAGATGGAAACATTGTGTACACCGGCTAAAATAGCAGGTATGTATCACTGATGAGAACTCATGTGAATGTTATTTGTTTGAAACATAAAGGTGAAACCAAAGCTTGAATAGTTCATACCTATGGTAAATTGTGTTTTTTGTATAAAAACATATTCTGTATATACAGTTAATATATAATCATTATAAACCATGTTATAATGAAGCACTGGTGTGCCAATAACTGCCAAGATAAATTTATTATTATTTTCCCTGTTTTTTGTGTTCCCTTTAGAGTTTCTCAGCCAGTCTAAAAACTAGCAATGGTGTGATACTTGCCACCTTCATCACATGATATAAATACCTCTGTTTACCTCTGAGCAGCCCAAATTCAACTGCAGTGATAAAAAGTGGTGACTATGCTTAATACACAAAAAAGCTACAGTTTGTTTAAACACCATATTGTTTGCAGCTCAAGGTGAAAATAATACCATAAACTATAAGGCTGCCCATAATAATATGGGTTCACATAACCAGGCTGTGAAAAAAAAATAAGGCCCATTTCATCAAGCTAATTGCCTGTTTGTGAGAGGCAGCAAACTTTTCTACCACCACTCTATTATGGAGGCTCTTTCTTAATCATAAATAGAGCCCTTGTATCCCGGAGGGACTTGCTATTCTAATTTACAATTGAACTAAAGACCAAAGCTATCAATCTTTCACAGACACTTTATTTCAGCCCCCCTTTCTCTCTTGTAATTGTGGTGACATAACCATAAACAACAGAGAAAAGGCTGCTGTGACTGATCTGTGGAAATGACAGCATTAACACATGAGTTGCACATAAGCACTCCCATCCACCATGCACGTGAATTTAACACACACATACACGTAAACACACATCAAGGTGGAATGAACAGTCAGGGCATACGTGGAGTGACACCGACTTGGAAGTTTAATAGACACAGTGTTATCAAAAGCTCGTCCTGACACATTATGAGGCTTAATAAATTTCAGTCATCTGAATCAAAATAATGCGAAGATGCCAAGTTTTGGGTAAAATGTGTAGACATGTTAAAAAGTCCACCGCTTTCTAATAAGCCCCTCTCTATAAATGGTTTATAAGTAGTAACTAATGGCATAATTAAAGGTTAATATAGAACTTACTAATGCTTCATAAAACAGTTATCAGCCTTTACAAAGAAGAAGAAGTTGTTTACCAAGTGGCCCAGTGTTTGTAATTTATTATCAACCTCTCTAATGAGCTATATATTCTGTAGTTATATAGATACTTCAAGTTTCTCACAAATGTTAATAGGTTGTTAATAAACACATTTTGTTCCAGAGGCTCTGCAAGTGTTCTATAAAGCATTAATACATGATTTATTAAACATTAAACACATTCTTAACACTTTATAAAGGGTGTCTTATCAGAAAGTGCTACTGAGATATAATATATCATGTTACACACTTAAAATCCCCTACACAGTGTATAAGACAACAAGAGAAATGTGTCTCAATATCTTCAACAAAGCTCTGTGAAGGTCTCATGCTGTCAGTGTGGTGCTGAAGAGCCTTGGACACATTCCTGCTTGCAGTGGTGGTGCAGTGTCAC